GTGTCGGGGTGAGTGACATGGGGACAGCCGCGCCCCTGGGTGGGGGTGGCACTGGGTGTGGCCCTGGGGGTGAGTGACATGGGGAGAGCCGCGTCCCCAGGTGGGGGTGGCATTGGGCGTGTCCCTGGGTGTGTCACTGGGGGTGAGTGACATGGGGACAGCCGCGCCCCTGGGTGGGGTGGCACTGGGCGTGTCCCTGGGTGTGTCCCTGGGGGTGAGTGACATGGGGACAGCCGCGTCCCCAGGTGGGGGTGGCATTGGGCATGTCCCTGGGTGTGTCACTGGGTGTGAGTGACATGGGGACAGCCGCGTCCCTGGGTGGGGTGGCACTGGGCGTGTCGGGGTGAGTGACATGGGGACAGCTGCGTCCCCGGGTGGGGGTGGCACCGGGTGTGGCCCTGGGTGTGTCCCCTGGGCATGAGCAGGAATTGCTCTCTGAGGACACCCCACTGTCCCCATTCCTGTCCCTATTGCTGTCCCCACTCTTGTCCCCAATCCTGTCCCTGTTCACTGTCCCCATTCCCGTTCCCATTCCCGTCCCGTTCCCGTCCCCACTCCTGTCCCCACTCCCATCCCATTCCTGTCCCTATTGCTGTCCCCACTCTTGTCCCCAATCCTGTCCCTGTTCACTGTCCCCATTCCCATTCCCGTCCCCATTCCCATTTCCATCCCCATTCCATTCCCCTTCCCCATTCCCCATTCCCATTCCCATCCCATTCCCGTCCCCATTCCCATTCCCATTCCCATTCCCCATTCCCCATTCCCATTCCCATCTCCATTCCCATTCCCATTCCTGGTCCCAGTCCTGGTCCAGTGTCCCCATTCCCATTCCCGTTCCCATTCCCGTCCCCATTCCCATCCTCCCCCCATTCCCACCACCCCCCGTGGATCTGCGGGGTGTCTCTGGCCCCGAGTTCCCGAGTGACCGAGTGTCCAAGTGTCCGGCGTGTCCCTGTCCCCTCAGGCCCGGCCACCACCACGCCAGTGCCACCAGCGCTGTCCCCGCACTGCAGTCAGAGCRCCTACGGCTGCTGCCCGGACAATGTCACCCGCGCGCTGGGCGTGGGCGCGGCCGGCTGTCCCAGTGAGTGACCGCCACACCCGGACAGGGGGGACGGGGTCTGGGACAGGGGAGGGACACTGGACTGTCCCAATGTGGTGGCACACAGTGATGTGCGGTGACACCCGTGACACGCAGTGATACCTGGTGATACACAGTGACAACCAGTGACACTGACATCCGGTGACACGCGGTGACGCCCTTTCACACATAGTGACACCTGGTGACACTGACAGCTGGTGACACACAGTGACATATGGTGACAACTGGTGACACCCTATGACATGCAGCAACAACTGGTGACACTGACAGCTGGTGACACCCGGTGACACACGGTGACACAAGGTGGTGCGTGGTGACACGGGTGACACACAATGGCACACTGTGGGACACAGTGACACCGGGTGATGTGGTGACACATCATGACACAGGTGACACAGGTGACACACAGTGACACGGGTGACAGCTGGTGACACGGTGACACACAGTGACTCAGGTGACACAGGTGGCACATGGTGGGTGACACATGGGTGACACAGGTGACATGGGTGACACGGGTGACACATGGGGGGTGACACCTGGTGATGTGGTGACACAGGTGACACATGGTGACACATGGGTGACACATGGCGGGCGACACCAGTGACACGGTGACACGGGTGACACATGGGGGGTGACACCTGGTGATGTGGTGACACGGGTGACACATGGTGACACATGGGTGACACATGGCGGGCGACACCAGTGACACGGTGACAC